TAGCTAACCACTGGACTGACTATCCCCTGACTCAGTGAAAGCAGAAGTGTGTCAGGGTCAAACTCAGTCACTATTTATGCATAAAATACAGTAGCGGAGCTGGATACAGTGCGGCGTGGTCCCTGTAGAGGAGGGTGGATGTGAGGACAGATTCAGTCACCGTTCTCTCTGCAACAGTCCATCTCCTCCTGCATTAGTAGAAAGGCAAAGGCTGAGAGCAGAGGGAAAAGGCTTCTGCACTTCAGAATCACTCTTTCTGACAAGTTAATATATACACCGAGGCAGGGATGGGCAGCTATGTGCCATGGAGGGCTGACAGTCTGCAGGTTTCATTCCAACTACGCTGGAGGATTTCACTGATGAGCTCCCCCTCTGAGGCTGACAGTGTGCTAATCAGTGACGTCTCCTGCTATATAGCCTTTGATTGCAATGATAACCTGGAGACTCTCCGCCATCCCTTTGCATGTGATGGACCAATCCTGTGCCAGAGTCACATTGATGTACTGGACTCAAGGGGTGTGTCCAGACTTTTTTAATTGGGGTGGTACAAGTGGGGCACTGACTTATGCAATATTGTTTACGGACCCCAGTATCTAGAAATATTAAAATAAACTAGACGATAGTAACATCTTTTTACCACATGCAAAAGGCTGCATGGTTTTTGCCTCAAAACTGCATGGGTTTAGCATTAAGTGGGCATGTCTGCAAAGGGGAGACTTGTGGGTACCCATAGAACCCATTTTCATTCGGATATCTTGAGGTCCTTTTGAAAATGGCCATGCCAGTTTTTCCATCGCCAAAATGTATCCTAAATCTTGAGCATTACTTAGCCCTAGCCTTACAACAGAGCTCACTACAACCTCTGCTAAACAGTGCGAAGTGGAAAAGGTATAGACAACGGTGGTGTCACTTGGGTGGCCAATTAGATTTCAAGGGTGGCCAGTGAGCCCAAGCCTCCCCTCTGGCAACGCCCCTGCTGTACTCATGCTGGATTCTAAATGGCTGGTATTCTGATAATTAAAGTGGGACACTTCAGAGGACAACAACATTCCTTTATTTGGTTTATTTTGTCTTTCTCATGAGAAAAGTTGTTTCCATCGGGACTGTCCACTGACCATTAACCACTGGGACTGACTTGTTATGGGCTGTTTCTTAATGAAATGTGAATTTGTAACACACATGTTTTGGTTGTCTATGTTTTGTTTCAATTTTGTTCTCACTGCCTACATCTCTAGCCACAGTCGCCACAGCATCTTCTTACCAAAAGAATCCTCCAAATTACAAAAGAAAATGAGTTGTTTGAATTACCTTCCAGTGCAATTCAAAAACAAGCCTTTTCTGATCCAGGTCTTTGTTGCCAGGACGACATCATCCAAAACTGTTACAAATCATAGTTGCAAAAATAAAAGCTTTTTCTGATCTGACAACACTATGTTTAAGGTTTGGTTGGGTTGAGGCACAAAAAGTACTTGGTTAGAGTTAGGGAAAGATCGTGGTTTGGGTTAAAATTATTACTTTGTTACGGTCCTTGGTTGTCATGGTTAAAACAATAATCACTTGGTTAGGGTTGGGAAAGACAATGGTCGTGGTTAAAAGAAAACGACATTGACTGTCGTAACAAATTATCAAATGTCCTCATACCTAAACGACAGAATAGGTTGATTGCTGGTGACTCCCAAAACAACATATATGACCAGCAACAGGTATACTGAAGCTGTTATGTAAGTCACAACTACGTCATGTGACATTAAACATGTGACCTTCGGGGTTAACATTGTGAAACAATCGCAGTTTGATTAGCTTTAGGCACCAAAAGTACCTGGTTTTAGGTTTAGGGGAAAAAAACGGTTGTCTCTATATGTCAAAGTCTGATTATTGGTTAATCCATCCAAACACCACCATGGCCGCGCTTTCTCACTTGAACATAAAAATATGTCATCAAGGATTGTTGTATTAGACTCAATTAGCAAATAAACAAAATAGCAAGAATAGCAAGCAAACATAAAACCCTATTGGTTATTTATACGTAGAAAGACTATTAGAACACAAAGTAGAAAAAAGAAATTAAATGTTTTGTCCACGCAGTTAATAATAATAATAATAATAATTTTCTTGATGAAATGCACACTAGTTGTGTATTGAAAGTTCATAATCTAAATTAATTAATGTTCAGGTTGCATATATGTTTCGTTAGGAAACTACAGCAAGTTTAAAGAACTCTAGAGGCCCATAGTCCTTATCTTCATGTGTTTTTTTCTAATTGGTTAATGATTAATTGGATTCTTGCTCTTCTGTTTTCCGTTAATGGGGCTGACAATCAGAAATCATCACATGTGGGCATAGAAACTGTAACATTAGGTGCTGACAGTGTTGAGTATCAGCCCCAAATTTTCACTATTAGCAATTTCAAAACAGAAATGTCAGTCTCAGCCTTAAAAGGAGGTCAGTTTAATCTTAATAGATACAGAAAGCAATGCAGAGAGCTGCCACATTATAGCCTAGTACTGCACAATATGTCAGCAGGTGAAGGAACAGCAGTCTACTGTTGTGGTATAATTGTTGCTCTGGTAGTATGCAAGCTCTCACTCCCCCCTCTCTCTCTCTCTCACACACACACACACACACAGACACACACACAGAAAAACTGCTAATCACAGCTTGGTACAGGTAGTGAGACGTTGGGACTACTGGTGATTGAGCCTCCCTGGTGGATTGGAAGCAGGAATCTGACAGACTCAGATAAAAGGCTGTTTGGAGTTGCCTGCAGCATCAAACAGCATCAGCCACCTCCCCTCCTCTCTCCCCCCTCAACAACCCCCACCCCCCCACCATCACCTCCCCTCGCTTCATTTCTCCCTCTTTTGGTTTACTCTGTTGCCATGGCTACGCCCAGCCGGAGCCGTCATGTTGCGGAGGAACCTGTCAGGGTGCCGCTCTCAGATCACCTGATGCGGGTCGCCTCCACTGGCGGCCTCTTTCACACGGCGTCATCGTTCAATTTGGCTTTGATAAAGTCTGTGCTCCATAGCGCGCCGTGGCTGAGAAGTGCAGTCGGCCCATTTCGTCGCCAAACGTTGAGCTTGTGCAATTTTACCGACCTGGTGTTTAGGAGAGGACCCCTCTGAACAGCAGAGAAAAAAACATAAATACATCTCTCCTATCCAATTTCCATGTCTGTGAAGAGAGTCTAGTCAAAGCAGCGTGATTTGAGTGGAGGATGGGGCGAAATTACCTGTTAGGAGTCATGCTGAGGGGATGGGTGTGCGTGGAGGGGGCTTTTCTACATGAATGAGAATAGTAGTAGGTAGGATACAAGACTGATTGAATACCCACTTAAAGCTGAATTCCCCCTGTAAACATTTTGCGAGAAACATATTACCTGCTGTTCTAGATGCTGTGCTTTTCATAATACCCTGCAACAACAAAGAGCCATCACCTCTTTTAGCTGGCTGTCCAGTTCGCAGCCATGCGGCTCTGTGTGCCGCCAGAGTATTAGAGGGTGCATATGCTGACTGTATGGATTGCGCTGAAGGGTGAAATGTAAGCTGGCCCCCCATTGAGTGCAGATTTGCATCTCCTGCTGTTTGTTTCCGATATTTGCTCCCCTTAGAGTGTGAATGGATGAATGAAAGCAGGGAGAGGCGGGAGGATGGAAGTTGTGTAAGGTGATGAGAGGATGGATGTGGAGAGAGGGAGAGAATGAGCAATGTCGTGATCAAGAGACGCTGGGACACAGAGAGGGAGATGAATGGGGCTGAGAGCAGGAAAATTGGACAGGAGGCGGGGAGTGAATGAAGATAGAGAATGGCTCGAGATATCAGGAGACAGAGATTGTGAGCTATGTGCAGGTAATAAACAAGGCAGAAATAGATAGATATCTCCAGAGAGGAAAAAGAAAAGTGTATGGGGTAGAGGGTTGGGGTTTAGGGGGTTTTTCCTCCCAAAAGATCAGAAAAGGCAAAAGAGATGGAAAGAAAGAGAAGGCGGGAAAGCAAAGGGAGGAAAGCTGGAGAGAGTGTGAATAATGACACAAGCAGGAAAGATTTGGATGAACATGCTGTACTTAGACTAACTTGGCCAGCTGAGATGATGTGTATCCCTGCTAAGCTCTCCTTTAGGCAGGCTTAGATCTCATCAACTCACTCCAGGTTGGCACCGGCTTCAAATGCTGCTGTGGAGCCATGGATTAACTATACAGCCGTCACTCAGGCACTTAAACAGGGGTCTGGAGAGGCTTATCCTATACACCCCCCCCCCNNACACTCCACACCCACCCACAATCGCCGCATCCGTTCTCTTTCAAAGCTACTCGCAGGAAGACTTCATCATAACGATATCTGCCGTCATTGCCTACGGCCTGGTTAATTGTGCCATGATTTTAAAAGAGGTTAAATGAGCATGTCCCTCTCCTCCTCCCTCCCCTCGTTTACTTCCCCTCTATCTTATTCCAGGCCTGTTGTATGAGTGTTTCTTTTTTCATTCTGGTGCTCTTCCAGATCTTCTCCTGCCAAATCACGCCTCTCCCTCCCTCCCTCTCCTTTCCTCCCTCCCTGTCTCTGGCTGGATCTCAGGCTCTCATATTTGGAGGCCCTGCAATCGATATGGGCTGTCTGTGATTGGGTTGCCTCGCGTGATTCATTTCTGTAACCTTGGTGATGGTTTGATGTGGAGGCTGCACCCATGTCCATATTATGACTCAGTGAGCGCGTGTGGAGAGGAGAGGCTGGTCAGGGGAGGTATCGATTGGTCCTTCACTCTCCCTGCCCTGTTTGCTCTCCCCTCCATCTCCCTCGCTTTCTTTATCCATCTTTTTTTTGCTCCCTGTGCAGCCTTGATAGTTTGGCCATAATTTGAAATGACTTTGTGTTCTCAAGAAATGATTATTTAACCCTAAATGTTCCCTTGGGTGTTAATGTTTATCTCTTTTCTTCTCTCTCCATTTTCTGCCTCTTCATCCCTCTCTCCCACCATCTCCTTCCCATCTTTCTATCTCATTCCAGAATTCAATCAGACACAATCTGTCTCTGCACAGTCGCTTCATCCGGGTGCAAAATGAAGGCACGGGCAAGAGTTCCTGGTGGATGCTGAACCCAGAAGGAGGGAAGATGGGAAAGGGACCCAGGCGACGTGCGGCCTCTATAGACAACGGCACCCGTTACCTGAAGACCAAGGGTCGCATTAGCCGTAAGAGAGCAGGGGCCGTAGGCCTCGGACGGGGGCAAGGTCAGGGGGCTGGACCCACAATGCAAGGCTCCCCAGAGCATGGCAGTCCAGCAGGGAAAGGAGGTGTGGGCATGGGGGGTGAGGAGTTTGACACCTGGACAGACCTCCATTCCCGCACCTCCTCCTCTGCCTCCACACTGAGTGGCTGCCTGTCCCCGATCCTGGCTGAGGCAGAGGCTGATGAACCGGAAGAGGGTGGACTGTCCTGTTCAGCCTCCCCTCGCCTGTACCCCAGCCCCACCAGCACCCGCTCCCCGGCCCTAGGCACTGGGGGCCACTGCCCCACCGTGGAGCTGCCCCAGCTGACCGACCTCACTGGGGCTATCAGTCTAGATGAGAGCGGCTACCCCCAGCCACCGCAAATCAAATGCAATGGTTATCCCTATGTGCCTGGGCCCAAGACGGAGGGCTCCTACTGTGGACCCATGTATGCACAGCCTTCCATGGGCATGCTCCGGCACCACACTCCCATGGAGACCATCCAGGAGAATAAGCCAGTCAGCTTCCAGCGCCCAATGAGGGGCTACTCAGAGAACAACGCCCTGCAGAGTCTGCTTACTGGAGGTCCTCCCTACTGCAACAAAGACACAGTGCTGGGCCAGGGACGGGACACACACACACTAATGACACAGGGAACCAATGGCGTTCACAGCCCGCACAGCCACAATCAGAATCGCAGCCACAATCATAACCACAATCACAGCCAAGAGCATGCTCACAATCCCAGCCTACACAATGGCCATGGCTCAGTTCATGACCAGAACACAACCCACCATCAGAACCACAATCAGGGTCACAAACACCAAGCCAGCCTCGACTACAGCCACAGCCACAAGCCCCATCCAACCCACGACTACGCTCCGAGTCACGAGCATGGTCACAGTAACAAAGTAAATGCTAGCCATGATCACAACCCTCGTTCCAGCCAGAGTCACATGCACAGCCGCAACCCCCACAACCCTCATAACCCTATGCACAGTGGGCCTCATCCCCAGGCCCTCTCCCCACGGGTTAGCACTGACATCCTGCAGCCCTACAGCCTCAAGACCTCTAATCACTATGGGCCCCGTCCGCACCTCCCAACATCACCTTCCCTCCCGCCCAACCCTGCTGGCGTCATGGACGTTCCCCAGGACCCCTGTCGCCTGGCGTCAGCGCCTCATCCCCGTCACCAGCCTTACCCTGGAGCTCACCATCAGGGTATGACTGACTCGTGGCATGGCTACTACCACAACAACCACCAGCCGGGGAACGCTGGTTACCAGGGGCAACAGCACAATTCCCACATTAGAATGGCTGCCAACCTGGAGATGGAGAACGTCCCTAATAGCCTGGACTGTGATGTAGACTCCATCCTGCTCAGTGACTTTATGGACACAGAGAGTATGGACTTCAACTTTGATGGCTCTCTGTCTCAAGGCGTGGGCATGGGGATGGGCATGAGCTTGGGGGCGTTTGCCTGCCCTCCACCAGCACACAGCAACCAGAGCTGGGTCCCAGGGTGAACCCAGACCCAAGGGTTTAGATAGACACATGACCGGAAAGCTCACCCACTGGGCCAGGCTGCTGGTGAACTGTACCCTTGGACTGACTGACTGTGATTCTGTTTCTCTGAGACTGTAGAACAAAATACGTATTGTCATTTTGTTTCCTGGGGACTCCCTACACCCACACATCCTGCCCCCCCCTGTTTATAAAGCCTTCTGTCTCCATATTGAACCTGCCCCCAATGAGCCCAGTCCTAAAGCCCCCCTTGTTTATGCCCTTCAGTTTTTTTGTTTTGTTTTGTGTTTTTATGGTATCCTCCCAATCTCTTCCTGCCTGTTCTAAGCTCTCAAGCACTTTACATCCATCCTTTCCATACAGATGCAGTAACACAAAGACCAGGCAAAGTCATGTTGTGTGTTGGCTTAAGTTTAATGTATGCAATCCACTTTACAGTATTATCTCCTCCCAGGAAGGAGGTGTTGTTTTTGACTTGAGAACATGATCAAACAGCTGCATAAATATCTTTCAATGTGGAGGTGCTCTCAGATTGGGGGTTAAAAGGCAGGAGAGGCTTTGAGGTTTAAGAATGAAGAGAAAAGGAGGTTTTTAGAAGAAGAGGGAATAGAACTAAAGGGATGGAGGGATAGAATGGAAGGCAACTCCAGGGTCAGTATGACTACTCTGCCTGGTGGACAGGGGTGTTTTCTGTTCGGTTCAGAGCAGAAGGATAGTCATCCATCAGGCAACCATCAGCACCACTCCATTGAAATGCAACGTCCCTTCTTTAATCTCCAAAGTAATGCCAGAGTGATGCATCACTATTGCAAATCTAATGCGCCACTCTGTGTTTTTTCAACCCCCCTCTCCCTTCTCAACTCCGGACACACCGGCTTAATGTGTTTTGGCGAAAGTGATGATTAAAGTCACTCTGCACTAAATAGGGGAGGGATTGAGGAGGGATGATAGGAGAGGAGAAATGCAAATATTCCCTCTGTGCCTCTTCCTCTCCATTTTGTGGATTTATGTAGCTTTCCCCGTAATGAAATAAGCAACGATCAGAGCCTGCTGTACATCCTGAGGAGCTCTCTGATTGGCCTGAGCTGGGCTGCCTCAGCATGGCTCCTTCACCGGCTGACCCTAGAACAGCTTAGTGAGCAGCTGTGGTCAGGCCAGGATGTTGATGGAGCTGCCGTCCTCAGACCCCAGGCAACCTTGTCTAATTCACTAACACCCAGGTTCAAGCCCACTATGTGCTTTTACTCCTGTGAATTGCACACTGATGAACAGCGTCAGCAGATTACTATTTGGTGCTATCTCTTCTTCCCAGGCTCCCTCCTATCGCGCCGCCCCATCCCGAGGTTACTCGGAGGGTAAACAAGAGTAATTAACCGCCAAACAAGATGGATGATTTATGCAAGTGTGTGTATTCGCTCATCGGCACAAAGTCATAATTCTTCCTCCCGCCAAGAACAAGGAGGGCGATTTTTGAGAGGTGATGCCCAGCAACAAGGTAAAGCGGTTGGCAAGCGGTCTGCTTATAGTGTCCTTCAAGTCCTTCAAGCATCCCCTTTACAAGCATTCCCCGCCCCGTCCCAGCCATAGCTTTACTTTGCTGTTGTCTTTTCTTGTGCTTGTTCTGTGATTGTGCAGTTGTCTGTCCTGTTTCAATACAGCTTGGGTAGGAGCTTTTCTGTACATTTTTCTTTCTTCATTCCCAGAGGGTAAACCGGCAAAGGGGGCATTCGCCAACCTCTGTCCTGGCACCTGTCCTACTCAAGACCGAGAGAATAGGAACAAGAGAGAGAAGAAAGGTAGATAGATACAGAGACTGAATGGGGGGGAGGCAGCTAAATGAGTAGGCAGGATCTGTGAGACTGGGAGAGATTTTCCAGCTCGGTAGCTTTCTGTAGAATTGGCTGTTTGAATCAGGCCAAATGTCAAGTGCTACTCAGCCAGCTCCGACGAGCTTTGACCAGAAAGCCACTTCTCCCTCCTGATCAAGGACAATGACGGGTATTTCCATACACATTTCTTTTTCTTTCTTCTTTCCTTTTCATGAGTTAGGATGGCCCATTGTTGTAACCCAACTGTAATTTGTTCTCTGGTCTGTGTGCACTTGTGTGTCAAGCTTCTCGTGGGTGTGCGAGTGTGTGTGCGTGTGTGTAGCACAGTGATGTACAAGAACTGATTAAGGGAATATTGTTGAGAACTAACTTGCCCTGGTATTGTCCATGCCTGGATGAGTGCAGCATACATAATATATACAGTTTATATTTATTGGTTATGGAGATGGGTCTGTGGAGGACCGCTCAGACCCCTCACTGCTTTGTCTTCTTGATGACAAAGAGGCAGAATGCTATTTCAGTTTGACTACATTTCATTCTGTACATAATCTATATTGAGAAAATTGTATTATAATTTTTTTGCAAATATCAATTTCTTTTCTAAAATGATGTATCTGCTCATCTGGTGTAAAATAAAAACAGATCAAGACATAGATGTTTTTTGTGTCTCTGTTATTTGCATACACAATCACATGTGCACTGCTGTCATTTGAAAACCTTGTATCTCCTGCATACTGTATGAACGCTTAACAAACTTGAAAAAAAAGCTTAATTTTAATGTGACCCACATCAAGTCAAGTCAGTTTTACTGATATAGCCGGTTATCACAAATTACAAGGTTGCCTGATATGGCTTTACAATCTGTATAGCGTTTTCTGTTTTTCAGGCCTTTAAGAGGGGAAAACTGAGGGGGAAACCTCAGGACGTGCAACAAAAGAGGGACCCCACTTTCATTTTAGACAGACATGTAATAGGTGTTGTATATACAAAGTAGAGAGAAACAGAAATAATAAAACCACAATGTCAAAATATGTTGTGTTTATTACAACTTGGATCTCATTTTTGTGGTTTTTGTCATTGTTTTTAGCATAATATTCTACCGTCACTACAATGAGGGGTCACATATCATTGGGATTACATAATCAGACTTCAGAAAATAAATAACTATATTCTGCACAGATTAATATAGTTAGATTATTACATTGTCAAGGATTACTTGACTATATTTCCTATCCTTCTATTTACCTAAAATATAGCAGATTTTACAATTCTGAAAGCTTTTTTAACCACTTCTCTATTAACTTATTAAAAACGCACCTGGTCTGACATACGACACATGCTCCACTTTATGGAGGTCCTGATGGGAAAAATGTTCGTAGCTGTTTTAATTTTTTTAGTATAAGGTGCAGTGTTTGATTGACTGAGTAATCCAAAACAACAAAGACTACCATGTAATTTTTATTCAGTAACTCACTACATATTACATACTACTATTAATGAATTAACCACGTTATTCAGAGGTGACACTGAAATAAAGCCAACCTAAAATGTCAGTAATAATTCCTCATTGCAGAGGAAAACTACGGTCAATAGGTAAGTAGTCTGTAAACTGATGGATTTTACAACTCTACCTTCATTTTTTCCTCCATTTAAGTGACCTCAGTCTCTTACACCATCTGACTTTCTTTTCAGACCCCTGTTCCTCAATCTTAGAAATTAACACAATACTATTTTTACAAATAGAAATGATGTCCTAAACTGCAAAAATAAGAACACTGTAATATGTATTTATATATTTTTACAATTTACCAGACATGGAGTTACGAGGTTTTCACATTAACAGTAGTCATAGGAGCTAATATATCATACAGTTCATCAGTATGGTAGTATTTCACAAGATAGGGGAGACCGGGGCTTGTT